CACACTGCACTGTCACTGCAGAGACCCGGGTTCGATTCCCGGTCGGGGCCCCTCCCCGGGCAGATGGAGCTCGTTAGCCCATAAGGCAATCCATCTACGTCCTGAGGACCTCGCTGCCACCGTCCAAGCGTGCTTGGCCCCGGCAGATGAACCTCAGGATTAAAGGGTGGGCTCAGTTCCGCGCACACTATGTCTCACCTAAAAAATCCAATGCGCAGGCTGGAAGGTGTAAAAACCTTCCCCGGTTCTTCGTTCGCGAAGAGACTGGCCATCACTGTAGTAACAACCGAGAATAAATGTTTGCAGACTTGACTCTTTGGATTACAAGAGGTTTGATGTTTCACTGTGCACTATGAATTGACCCACAGGTTTTCACAGGGTGATCTGTTTGGTGACCACAGGACAAGGGGCAGAGTACTGGTGTTGCAGGAGAACCCTTGGTTGGATCCAAGCAATCAGTACCACTGGGAAAGGAAGGCTGCTCTCCTACACCTCCCTCCCCACACAAGAGCAGTGTGTTGCTCCTGTTTGCCTTGCAGTGGCTCCACTTCTCCCCTGATCCCACTGCTGAGCTCCAAACTAAGCCACGGCAGAAAACTAGCATGTGAAGATTTCACCCACAGGTGTTTGTGGGCAGCAAGGGTGGCAGTTTGATGGTACACTTAGTCACTGTGTTGCTGTGAGTGGCAGAGACATACATGGTGGATATAAACCCCAGCCCTGGTGTTAGTGATATGTACGTCAGTGTGGCACTTGGCGATATTCATGTCTGAAGTCTCCTTTTTACAACCTCAGTAAAGCTGTACGGAGACCTCTCCCACAGTGAGGTGAGGAGTTGCAAGAGCAATTTCAGCTACTGGGAAATCCCAGCATGCTCTCAGTTTTCCCTTCCTTTTGTCTGCCAGCCTTCCTCTCCTTACATACACATTATGATCATCTTCCAGCCTCTCAGCCACACATCTCCACACTTCCACACGGCTTTTGCCTTACTCGCCTTGCAGCATGGATGTGCTGTGGCAATGAGAATGACCTGCCTAGCAAAGAGGGCCTTTTTGGTGTAGAAACCCTCTGTTACACGGCTTGAGAAGCTGGTGACTGGGCCATGAAGGAGGCTGAGGGAGAAGAGGTTCAGGGCACATGCCAGGCTGATGATTGCTGCTCTATCCTTGCTCCTGTTGTGGAGCTCTTGTAGGAGACCACAATGGTCACGTAAACCACGTGCTTCACAGGTGGTTCCCTCTGTTACTAATTTTCTGGGTTTCTAACTTGGAAGTGTAGGGTGAGGTTTGCAAATGTGCTGAGAGCTTGCGATAGCAACTAAAGTCAATGAAAGCCCCTGCTCTAGTACAAAATTAGCCCCAAGGATGAAGCCCAAAATTTAGAGGAAGTGTTTGACCTTGTGCTTTCTACCCATACCGCAGGAATGGATGCTCCTATCCTCTTATCATACTGGTACTTGAAGAAGATCTAATCCTCAGGCTTTTCAAGTTCTAAGGTGCTGCTATTATGACTTCCTAAGGAAAAAAATGTAGAAAACTAATAAATTTGCTGTCTGAGCAGCAAGTCACAGCGCCATTTACTGAGTAATGAGAATGTGAAAATTGAACAATGTTTTATTAAATGAGCTCTGCTATTATGAGAAATAATAACTTGTGGGTGCAGGCAGAAGTATGTCTGATACTAACTGACACGCGCTACGGAGGCGATCTGACATGATCTTCCTTTTGTTTTTCAGACTATTGGCGAATCAGAAATGCCCAGTGTTTTGAACCAGTTATTGCCAATGATCAAGTCTTACAACGAGAGAACGAAAGATGATTATACCTGTGAGGACTTCCTTGTCTTGCTGGTATACATATATTCTGTGGTTGGAGAAATCGAAAGTGGAAAAGAGCTGGATGCAGCTGAAGAAAAGGTGAAAAAGGCCCTCATCAAGGCAATTTGTGATGAGCCAGAGCCATCTCCTCTGTTGCAGAAAATTACAGGTAAGATTCTGCTTGTGTGGTGGGAAATTGGATGGCTGGGAATGTGGGAACTGGGAAAAGTGTATAAAAATGGTTTGACTGGTCTGTGGTGCTGAGAGTACATGAGTAAGCAGAAGGATTTCCTGTAGATTTGTTCCATCTCCTGTGTTCATATATGCCAAATGCTGACAGGCTGTCCTTGAAGAGTGCTGAGTCTGATGAAAGCTCTACAAGTTGTTCTTTTTGTTAAAGGTTGGCTAAGTTTGTGTGTTTTTGTAAGGTAATCTTTTCCACAATTTCTTTCACTGATTTGTGTAAAGTTGACCCTGGGAAGTCAAAATTAGTCCTGGAAACATGTTCAGTGAACCACAGTAGCTTTGTGAATACGAGGAGCTGGCCTCTCTGGCATAAAAGAAGAAATGTGTCTAAAACCAACACTGAGCTTTTTGCTGAAACAACATGAACATTAGCCTTTAAAAATAGCATGCTAAGCCTTTTTTTAGGTCAGCCCTGATAGAGCAGGAAAGCCATAACCTCTTGCTGCTGGTGTCACATTTTAGAAAAAAAAAATTTAAAACTTTATTTAAAATGAATGAATTATGGCTCAGGGGGGGCCTAGAGTGGCAGAAGGGATGTCACTTCTTGTTATTCGTTTTTCTCAGTATTTGATAATACCGAGGAGGTCATCTTTGAGGTGGTGAGCATATGAACAGAAATCAAGATGTTTAGAGGGGCTTACAATCAAAAGTCTTTGCCAAGGACGGACCTAAGTGTGGAGTCTCAAGGGAAGTGGAATAATAGTGCTGTTGGTTTTTATTTTATAATTGCTATATTTATTTTATTTTATTTATTTTATAACCTTATTCTACTTCTACTTTGAAATACAGGTGTGGTCTTACCGGTCTGCTGTTGCTTTGAGCATAAACACTATAGTGGTTGAAAGACTTACTTAAGGAATAGACATATTCAGTCATATTTGCAATGTGCTCTTATTTTAATACTCCCAGCCAAGGTGCCCACAGTGTTCCAGGCTTCTTGTAGGCTTTTTTTCTCTTTTTTTTTTCAATATGTACTGCACACTATATGGTGTTTCCTCAGAACTTCAGTGTTGTCTTCTACTGGGTGTGGTCCAGTAATTTCTTAATCTCCATTTTCATATTCTCCATTTTCTCCTATGATCAGAGATGTTTTAAGTCACAGTTTTGTCAAATTTCTCTTCATCGGGCCTAATGTAAGTATGCAAAGATTTTAAGTCTCTGAAACTTCAGTCAAGTACCAAAGAGAAGCTCTGGAGAGACCCAGTGTAGGTGGTTTTAGACCAAGCGCATCATTGTTATGTGATGAGGTTAATTGCATAACACAAAGACAGAGTCCTGGCATCCTTCTTTCTGTATCTGTATTCTTCATTTTTACATCTTATTTAGTTCTTTTTGAGTTCATAATAGGAGAGGGCAAAACAAAATTAAAACCTACTGACATGACCAAAAATAAGGATTCTCATGGGAGCAAAGTATAAAATGAAATTTCTATGAATGCTCCATAGGTAGTTTTCAAGGCTTTATTCATCCAATAGTTTGCTTTCTTAGCATTAGTGGAATTTGCTGAATTTGCCAGTTGCTATATTTGCCGTACCGTTGAATTGGGAAGACTAATAAAACTTGACCAGCCTTAGACCTACTCCTCCTTGACCTCTATTTTGCCAGGCCTGTGTTTTACACCCTGCTGCCCTCTGAACCTTAGGTACTTTGCTCATTACTTGAGAGGCAAAGCAAGTCAGAACAATAGGAGCATCCACAGGCTTTCCTTCAAAGGCGCAGCAGGACTCTCTTTGTAACAGGGTGGAAAATCAGGGAATAGATAGCAGTGCCGGTTTCTCCTTTTTTGTACAATCACAGATGTAATGCTGAGACATCTTCAGCAGAACTTCTATGAACTACAGACTGACTATTCCTTTTAGCAGATACTGGTTGGCATATTTTCACAAAGGCAACCCAGCTCTGCAAGTTAGCAGCAGCCATGCATCTGGACAGATCGTGGTTCAACCCCACAGCGTTCTACCCTCATTTTACTGTAAGAAACAGAAACAAGAGAAAGCCTTTTTTGCTCTTGCCACAAAAGTTAATTAGACTAAAAAAAAAATTGCAATAATTCTTGGAGTCTCTCACTCATGATCAGAACAAGTGAAATGTTCACAGTCTTTTATTTCACCTTTCCATCAAGGTAAGTGATAGAAAGAATGTTAAATGGGATGTTTCAGGAGAGAAGACTGGGCCAGTTACTGTGTGAGTTCAAGACACTGCTGGCTCACTGCTCACCTCCAGACTGAATTTTCAAACCCTGCTGGCAGTCCATGATTGGACAGCTGGGGTTATAGCAACAGATATAAAAATTCACCGTTCCCTGTAAAAAACATAGAGAGATGTAATAATACATAGACTGCAAAGCTGAGCACTCCAAAGCTGAGAAATGTCAGTAACTCTGTTTCCCATGTAACTGTCATTTGACTCCTATGTGCGTTGTAGCACAGTCTTCAGTTTCATGATTTTGTACTTTATTTTCTGTTAGCCATGGCTGCATTTGGTGTGTGGACCAAACACCACAGAGGACTAGAACAATATAGTTTTGGTTATTCTTACATATGATGAAGAAGTACTTATGAAGTAAATGACACTGTATGATATACAGCAACTAGCTTTCTCTCAGGATCTCAGTTTGAAGTTGATGAAGTGGACTGATGCTCTCAGCTTTGTGTGACTCATTTTGGAACTTGAAACAGAAAACCGTGGAATTACATTTTCAGGTACTAGTAATTATGTGTCTTTGAACAAAGAGGACTTTGTGTTCTGCTTCCTGATACACCTGGTATCTGGTGTTTTGGGTTTCTTTTGGTCACAGCATTGCACTAAGGCTGTTTGGTTGGTTGAAGTTGAAATTAAAAGTCATATCTCAGCTGTGGCTCTGAACTGCTGCCTCAGCCTTTTGCTTTCCACTTTTCTGCAAGGCATGGAAGTTGTGCAGTCTTGAGAAATACACATTTTTGTTGGTTTTATTTGTT